GCTAAAAGGGGCCCCACTGACGTTCCAACGCCTTATGGACGAGCTACAGCGAGGACTTGGCGAATCCTACTCACAGGTCTATATGGACGACCTCATCGTTTTTAGTGAAACTGAGGAGGACCACGTGCAACACCTCAAACGCGTTTTTGACAGGGTGCGCGAATTCGGCCTAAAGTTATCTCGGGAAAAGTCTCAATTCGGGTTACGAGAAATCAGGTTTCTAGGACACGTAGTCTCACGGAACGGGGTACAGCCGGACCCGCAGCGGGTGAAGGCCATCCTGGAAGCACCATTACCTAAGAACGCCCGAGGGATCAGGCGATTTTTGGGTATGATAAATTACTATCGGAAGTTTATACCCGGAATAGCGGAACTCACGCATCCATTGACCGAAACATTGAAAAAAGGGAGACGGTTTCAATTAGGTCCAGACCAGCTAGCGTGCATTAAGAAATGTCGGGAGATTTTGACCACTCGGCCACTACTAGCTTTCCCCGATTTCGCTAAAATGTTCAAAATCACCACAGACGCCAGCGAGGTAGCTATCGGGGCCGTGCTCTCTCAGAATTTCGAAGGTGGCGAGAAACCACTAGCATACGCGGGGCGGAAGTTGAACGAAGCATAACAACGTTATAGTGCAATCGAGCGCGAGCTTTTGGCGGTAGTATGGGCCGTGGAATACTTCCGACCATACGTGTACGGGAGACGGTTTGAGTTACTGACCGATCATAAGCCTTTATTGCACCTCGGAACTCTTAAAGAATCTTCTGCACGGGTATCACGGTGGAAGGAGCGTCTAGCGGTTTACGACTTCCACGTAATACATAAAAAGGGCGTCGACAACGCGGTTGCCGATTGGTTCACGAGACCTAGTAGTAAACGCGATCGAGGACGAGGAGGTCCCGACAGAACCATTCGCGCTACGATATCTACGCGAGTGGGCGGAAGGCGGACCAGAGATTCCTTTAGTCCAGAGTGAGGCCGAGGAAATTGCGACACCGACGGACAGACCCGCGGAACTGCCCGAAGTAGACGAAATCATTAACAATAAAAGACTACAGATCATTATCAAATCAAAGCAGGACTCCGGAATAGAAACCAGGGCAAGCACGTATGAAAGTTTGTCAACTATATTAGTTCGCACCCCCGCATCTATAGATGAAAACGCGTTAGAACGTATATTCGTGGAATTCAGTAACCCAGGACGGAATTGCTATGTCTATGTGGGTAATCGGATGATTGCGGAAAAATTGAAGCGGTTATGGCGCCAGGAAAGGATAGGAATGGGGTACTCGCTAGTGAGGTGTTTACGTCAGGTAGAAACGATTGCAGAACCAGCGGCACAACAGAACCTGGTAACGGAACACCATTCTGGGAAAACAAATCACCGGGGAGTAGATGAGACTCTTCGTGCATTGAAATTGCTCTATTATTGGAAAGGTATGGGCCGTACCGTACGGGATTGTGTAGCACAGTGCGAGGTCTGCCAAAGAGCGAAGTACGATCGTCAACCTCCGGTAGCCGAACAGGTAGTCACCCCTACCGCTACAGAACCCCTGCGATCCATACAGGTAGACGTTTATTCCAACGAGGGGCAATCATGGGTAACGGCGATAGACCCGTTCAGTAAAATTGCAATGGCCTATCCCATTGAGTCAAAAACTCCTGGGGCAGTTTGGGAAGGGATCTTGCAATGGTGCGCATTTTACGGTGTCCCAGACGAAATCGTCTCAGATTGCGGTAGAGAGTTCGATAACTCTCTAATTCGAGATGAGAGCAAGATATTGGGCATTAATTGGCGTTTGAACACCCCACATCACATTAAGGGAAGGGGCGCCGTGGAACGGCTCCACAATACGCTAGGCGAACACTTGCGGCTGCTCAAGTTAGGTCGTAACCTCGATCCATTCGATGCTATGCCACGTGCTGTCATAGCCTACAATAATACTATTCATGCCGCGACGGGATTATCATCAGTCGAAATTGTATTCGGACAGAGGCGACGGGATAGAGGGGATCTCATCACGGTTAACAATAACGACCTTAAAGCTAGCATGTATCAGGCGAGAGTAGGGCGGCAAACAACGTGGGCGAAGGTACGAGAAAAATTAGTTCGAGAGAAGCAAACCCGGGTGGCTAAGGCAAATAACCGACCCATCAGTTTATAGAAAGGGCCCGTTAGCGCTGGGAACCATAGTGTATAGACGATTACGGACCGCTCGCACTAAAACAGCCGCGAGGTATGAGGGGCCTTATAAAGTCATCACCATACGGGAGAATAATCTATTTACTATCAGGATGTAAATTACCAGTTTCGGTCACGTACGGTACACCTCGAAGAACTTCGGGTACCCCAGGTCATGCCAGAAAACGAGACGGACGGCGGCGCCCAGCCTGGACCATCTCACGGCTAGGAAGTTTTCTTTTCTTATTTTCCATTTTTATGTTTTTAGCAATATTTATTAACCTTTGTTAGATAGCATTATAGAAGTAGAGTGGAAATTTTTTTTTTTCTTTTGTTAAATTTCATTGTATATAGGTTAAGTTATTGTATTTTAGGATATCTGTATTTTCTTTTGTTTTAGGTATAAGTATGTTAAGCAAGTGAATCTGCTACTTTTTTTTTTTTTCTCTCTGCTCTTTTGGAAGTGTTTGAGTTTGTGTTTGATGTTCTATTTTTTTTTATTTATTTTTTTTATTATTATAAGTTCCTCCATACGAAGGAACTGGAGGGAGGGAGTTAGCTGTATATAAGCCATAAACAATAATAAGAACTATGTTACTAATAGGATTAACAAAGCATTGTAAATGAAAAAAAACTGTTACTATATATATGGGATGAAGTAAATAATAAAGTCAGTTGCTCACGAACCTGTGTACTGTTACTATGCCCTAAAACCCTTTTTTTTCGATCAGTCTTTCAGTCTAATCGTAAGTTATATATACACATATACATATATATATATATATATATATACATATATGTACACAACACATATCCATCCATATACATAAAAAAAAAAAAAAAAAAAAAAAAAAGAACACTCTACATCATTATAAATGATCTAATATTGATTTGATCAAGTTCTGTCGACTTCTTTCGCTTAGGAATGTGTCTTTCCTTGATGAAACTATACTTTAAAATGGCTTCTCCCATAGACTTCATTCTCAATGACAAACCATAGATCTTGAAACAAAGGTAAATATGTAATTGTGAGTTGAAATTGCTGGGGAAGCTATACTAACCTACTTGACAAATTTTCTTTTTCTTCAACTAGTGTCTGTTACAGTTATCCTTTGTCTTAATAGACAAGATCAAGAGGGCTTCCCTAAGAAAAATTAAAGTAAACTATAAGGGCCTCTGCTAATTGAATTAAACTATGTTCAAACTCAGGTTAGCAGTAACCTTTGTTTAGGTTCTCACCTACTTGTGGGACAGGTTTGCAGAAGAGCTTAGACTATTTGGAATAGTTCAATTGATAGATCCAAGGAACTGTGAGTTTGGCAATCCAACAAGTCTTTTACAGTTTGCTGATGTTACCAAAGTAATGTTTTAAAACAAACAGCATATAGATTATGCCGCACACATAATAGGCCTGAATAAGCCGCAATATATAAAAACATAAACAAAAAAATCTATGCCATTTGACAGTTTCACCTATATAAAAGGACAAATTATAAATTCTGCGAGTAATAAAAAATCTGTATCAGTGAAATTAAAGATAATCACGAAAAAACAAAATAATCCTATACATGAAATGGAAAAATGATAAAGGATTAGAATACATGATTTATTAGAAAAAATGTTCCAATAACATTAATTGGGCAATCCAAACTAAAGAATGTAGTCTTTTTGAAGATTTGATGAAAATGTAGGGAGACAATAGTAACCAAATGTTTAAACCAAATTTCGACTGGTTCAGAAAATTTAAAGAACGTGATAACTGTCACTGTATGAAGATTAGTGGAGAAGAAGCAAGTGAAGATTTCAAAGCTGATGAGATATTTACAAATAATTTGGAAGTGGTGCTTAAAGAAGTTAATTATATGCTGGAGTAAGTAAATTAAGTTGATGAAACCACCTTATATTGAAACAAAATGTCTAAATAGATATACATTAAAAAAACAGCTAAGAGCGTGTACAGTTTAAAATCATTTAAAGGCTGTATGACATTGTTATTAGGAGAAAACATCACTGGTTATAAAGTGAATTAATTTTGTATCCATCATTCTGAAAATCCAAGAGTTTGAAGCAAATTGATAAGTTAACATCATTGATACATAAAATATTGTAATAAATTGGCCTTTTTCAAGACAGGATCAACAAGTGCTTCATCTCCAAGATTAAAAATAATGCAATGAAAGTTTTAAAATTTTACTTGAACCTTTTTGCTGAAGCAATTGAATGGATAAAGCTAGAGCAAGGTTAGGTAAAATTTGGACAAAATATAACATAAACCATACGATAAGATGAACAATTCTCAAAAGGATAGTCCAAAGTGACCACAAATTGGAATATGGAACAAACTATTTAAAAGATACATAAACCATACCATATCAATTTCAACAAAGATGAGGGAATAGATGAGGTGGCTAATGAAATCATAAAAATTTCTCAACAACATATGGAAATTGGTAAGGGAGATATTACTTGTTATAATGAAAAGAACTCTACAAACAAACCTAGACATATTTGAAAAACAACCACCAACAGTCCAATAAAAATTCAAGAATCGGCCATGGATATTAGTAATGAAGAATATAAATAAATATTACATCCAAATAAAATACATTATGAAAATATTTCCAAATATGTACAATTAGTAAACAAATAAAATACTTTTATGTAAATAAATGGTATTAAATATTTTTTTAAACAAAAAACTTCATGGTCCAATTATTTTATGCCATAAGTTCTCTTTATATGTTTATAAAATCTAGAGATAAAAAAATAAAATGATAAACATTTTCTAGAGTAGATTAATCTATAATTGTCTTACTTCTGATCGAACCCAGGCTTCCCATAGTTCTTTTACAGATACATGCATATCATCATTGCGGTGAAAAGCTTTTTGTCTCCTCTCGGCTCCACTTTCATATTGTAGTTCTTCTCTCAGAAACTAGAAAAAGCAATAAATCATGAATTAAATGAAAAAAAAAGAAGAAAAATATTTATAAACAGCTTTTCCTATATAAAAGGCTGTTTTCATTAAAAATAAGAAATCTGCTGTTATCATATTAATAAGAAATAATAATATGATATATTTTTAGTAAATTTAGAGTATCTTACTTAGTTCAATGTAAATAAAAAGTAGTTAATTCCCTACCATTAATCATTCCTTATCATTATAAAAAAAATAAAAAAACATTAATATACTATAGTAATGATCACGGAGATGGTTGGGGGTCCAGACATGAAAGAAACACTTAGGAAGTATAATAATACTGGTTTAAAAAGTGATATTTTGGCCTAAGTTTTGACCTTCATGAGAGCTAAGCAGAATAATATAAAAACATAAAAGAAAAGAATAAATATATAACGTATAAGAAACAATAAATAGTATATATCTTGAATCTTGAATCCTTTGTCCTTACAGACGTTTCTCTTTTTAAAAAACATGTATCTTTAGATGTCCACCCACTCACTCGATTTATACAGAAATAAGAGTACTAATGAGGAGAAGAGAGGCTACTAGAAGACGCTACAGATGTACTCGACTGCCTCAGCATTATACCATATTTAAATCCCTAAAAAACCTCACACAAATATCCCTATGCCGGGCAAAAGCTCAACACTTTAATAACCCCAATCCTAGATCCAAATGGACAATCCTTAAGAACCTCTCTGTCATTAGCTCCAATACCTGCACATAATATCCAGTCAATCGGAACAAGCTAAATTTCTTTTTCGCTAACCATCTTCTATCTACATTTTCATCTGACCTCTAACATTTTTCCACCACCAAAACCTCCTTCGATCCTGATAAGTTTTATTTTTTTGATATCTCTCCTATTCACTTGCTCTCTGCCATCCTTAAATCCAAAACTAACAATTATGGTTGTGATTAAATACCCGTTAAAGTTATCAAACTCTGCCGTCCAGCATTACTCCCCGCACTCCTACACATATATAATTTATCCCTCCAAAATTCCATTTTTCCCAAATTCTGGAAAAGAGCCATTGTCCACCTGCTAAAAGAAGTTATTGAATGCATCAATAGATATGCAGAAATAAATGAATTGAAGCTGAAAGCAGACAAAACTAAGGCTATTCTCATCGGGTCCAGACATATCATTAGTTCCCTACCTTATTCTCCTCTGCTTTATCTCAATAACTCCCCATCCATTTTTCCCTACAGTAAAAAACCTAGGAGTAACCTTCCCTGGAATAACCATATCTCCCATATTACCCAAAAATCCATAACTATTCTTGAACAATTCCTAAGATTCCGTGATTTTATTCCTCTAGCAGCTCCTTGCAACCTCCCTTGTTTTTCCTCACTTCAACTATGGTTGTTTGGTGTATGAAGATTGATTGATTTATGTCAGCTGGAGCTGTCAGTCAAGCTGGAAATGAGACTCAAGAATTTTTTTTTTTTGTTCTTCCCTTCCTCACCTTTTACGCTATGCTAGGTTTTCCTAGGCCAGGGAGTGAGAGAGGGGGATTAATACCACCATGCCCCCAGACTCATGAATTGCTTCATAAGATACATCTTTGGGATTCTCAGGAGTTCTCATGTTTCCTGCTGGTACACTAAACTGAAGTTGCTTATCCTACTTCCCAACAGCAATTCCTTCTTGGTATTTTCCATTTCAAAGTCCACAGACCAAAACACCCTCTCTACATCCTAGAACTCCTTACTATATCTACTCTCTCAATACCAGATCTCAACCTATAGATTTACATATCTCCTCCCATAAAACTACTTTCTTCAATAAATTCTTCGTAATTCGTGCTACCTCCTTTTGGAACTCTTTACCTACCTCCATACGTCAATCCTTGTCCACAAATTCCTTCAAACAACTCCTGTTTCACCACCTACTCCATATTCAAACTTCTGCATTTCAAACATGTACGATGTACTTGCATTTTTACACTGACTAATTCAATCAACTGCACAATTTAAATTGCAATTAACAGTTAATTAGGCATATTTTTGTATTCTTATCATAACTATGTAACTCTGTTATTAGTCTTAGGGGACTCTAGTCCCAGAATAAAATTGTTTTTTTAATTTCATTTCATACATATAAAATTATATGAAAAATTGAAATAGGAGGTGCTATTATGTATACATAAAATTTGAAAATTGAAATTATGAGAAATGAAATATGGAAGATACAAGAGAATACATAAAAACATGAGAAAAAAAAAATATATACCCGAGTTATAAAAGAAACAAGTCTTGTTATAAAATTTTGCTTTTCAAGTCCAGGGAAGCGGGACAGCTCAGAGAGTAGGGCACTGAATTCCAAATCTCAAGATCCTGAGTTCCAAACTGGCTGATGGCAGGTAATTATTTATCAACCCTGGGGTCAGGAGATCCTCCTGGGACACACCCAGCCTTTATAAAGTGGGTACTCTTAATTAATTAATTAAGGGGAGAAAACATGGCAATTGATTTCGGTCAAATCACCTCTTTGCACAACTGTTAAACAAGAGACAGTACTTCTCTACATAGAACTGAACCCAAGACCTTTCATGGGTTGAAGTGTTACAGGTTTTTTTAATGAAGTCCTGATGAAGGCTAACAACCTAGACCAAAATTTTCGCACACATTAAAGTTCAATGAACTTGCTAGGTGTATCTATCTAAACCAGAAAAATCTCTGTCATTACACTAATAAATCAATCAAGTGAGGGACTGCTTCAGTTACTAATGAAAAAAAACAAAACTAATTAATATTAATTTAAATCAACTTGGTTTTTAACCAAATATTGAATGTGTGAATAGAAAGAAGAAATATTAATAACATATCTCTTTACTCCTTTATTGTTAATAAATCAATATTTTATAAAAATGAACTTATTCTCTCTATTTACCAGGTCCTTCAATCTGTGGCGAATTTGATTGTAATTTATTATTTGTATTGCAATTTTGTCCGATATTTTTCAATTTTTTTCTTTTTCTTTAAATCAATTTCTAGTAAAAGTTTTGTAATTTATTGTGATTTAATCATTTATTTTTAAATTTTTTCTGTTTAAAAATAAAACTATTTCCAGAGACAGATTTGGTTTTTCATTGAAAGTTTTATGTGCCTATAACCTAACATTCTAAGCCTATCACAATTAAATTGGTGTAACCTAATGCTGTGAAAGGCAAGAGCTGTTGAATTAAAATGCTTGTAGTATAATTGAGTCCAATCAATTGATGTTCTGATAATCAATACTCTATTTTATTATTTTTAATTTAAGAATTGAATAGTTTTCTAACAAGGGGCCTGAAAAACATATTTTAACTTTCTTTTATTAAATAAATCATCAACATAAATAATCTTAATTACATACATCATCGGATTCAGATAAGTCTACAGCACCGTTAGCATCATCGTCTAACTGCCTGTGTAGAGATCTTATAGCTTCTAACCCATGCTTATCATTAGGTGCAATTATTGAACATGATAAATCATCACTGCAAAATTCTGAAAAAATAAATTTTCAAAGTTAATATTCCCTTATTCACCTATTTACAAACAACTCTCTATAACAAAACAATTAATTCCATAACTAAGAGTGAAAAAAAAAAAAAAAAAAAATAGTACACAGCCGGTTAGTTAATAACTGATGTGGGATTTTTTAAAATTTATATTGTATTAAATATTAAGTGTGAGTCAAAGCATAGAATGCACACTTGTACATAATTCATACACTAGAATGGCTATAAAGTTTCTCTATGAGATTCAATGGATTCTTAGTTTATAGTTAAAAATTACTAACAAGTACATTCTTATTTTATGAAATTCTAATAAAATTAAGTGTAAAATCTGTATAATTTTAAGCACATCACTTGATTATTGAATAACAATTACAGTAAAAGCAAATTTTACTGAATTATCATCAGTTTGAACAGTAAGAAAAGGGATTCTTAGAGGTTCAATGATATATATGATTAGCTCAATGAAGCTATTAGTTTATTAGAAGGTATTAGGTACAATTAATTATTGATGGACAGACTAGAATATAAATTATGACCAGAGTCAAGATTTTTTAAATAGTTAATCAATTATATTTAAGAATCAGTATACCCACAAGCAACTAGCTAAATTTTATTTTGCATATTTGATGATAAATGTACATAATTGAATAATTTGATTATTTCAATAAAGTAAAAATAAAACAAAATGCAGCATTAAAGATGTAATTTTAGATTACTATAGTGCGTTCATTGTCAATGAACTAAATAACACTACCTTTAATAATTGATTCTTGAAATATGGATTTTTTCGGCTTTAAATCTACCTTCCTCATCTTTTCTAACACTCCTCTCTCCCACTCAATTTCAATTCAAGTTTGTAGCTTACTTTTTTAACAACCAGTAATATTCATTAAAATTCTATTAGTGCATTGTTTTCTTCATAATTGAAATCTTGGATCAACTTTTACAGTACCAAAAATGGAAGCAGCTTATACAACTGATTCAAAATTTGTATTTGTGAACTATTGTTAAAACAAGATTCAATAGAAAACAGCAATAATAATTAATCATAAAATAATCATTAAGTGTATACAAATTTTAAAAGATCACTTTCTAAACATAAAATACTATGCCAAATTGAATATTAGCATTCAAATAAACAAATTTAGAAATGCATTTGGTAATTAATTCATTTTAGCGCGAAATATGTCACTGCCTAATTCATTTGCATTTTTTTTATTACTTTGTTCATATCGTCATTGGCTTTGAAGACAATGATTGGTAGGTTTCTTTTACACTAATTGTAATTTTCTAATATTTTCATGTCTAATTTTTTAAAGGATTCTAACATTATACCATATCCAATAATATAAATATTTTTTTTTAAATCTATATACTTACTGTTTGTTATTATGTGTTTTAATATTCATTAGCTACCAAAAAGTTTTTTATCATTGATGTGCGAATTTTTTTTTTTTTTTTTATATTTATGGATCCCAGTCCGCTGGTGATCCTCAAGGTAGTATCCTAGGTCCTATCCTCTATACAGTTTATACAGCTGACATCCCTACCTATTCCAACACTGTCATCACCACATATGCCGATGACACATGTATCCTATCAGTAAATAATGATCCATCAATTGCATCCCAAATGCTTCAATCACACATCATAAATCTTGAAGAATGGTGTCAAAACTGGAGAATTAAAATAAATCCCATCAAATTACCTTTACCCTTCGTCGTAAACCAACGACTGCCTGTCCTACAGTTTCCTTTAACAATACTCCACTTATTCCTGTTGAGCAAATCCGATACCTAGGACTCCACCTGGACAAACGTCTTACTTGGAATCCTCATACCAGACTGAAACGACAAGAAACCGCTCGACGTTTCCGATTACTTCAGCACTTACTAGACAAACGCTCTAAACTTCCCATTAATTACAAAAGACTCATATACTTGACTATAATAAGACCTATTTGGACTTACGGAGTTGAGCTATGGGGCTCCACTAAACCATCGAATTCCTCTCGCATCCAATCCTTACAATCCAAAATCCTTCGTAAAATCCTCAATGCTCCTTACTTTGTCACTAATAAAATTATCCATAAAGATCTTAATGTTCCTTATGTTTCAGATCTGGCCCAATCCAGATACCTATCCTTCCATAGTAAACTTCAGAATCGTCCCAACCCTCTCGTTTCTAACCTTGCTTCCTCTTCAATTCCTGCTAACCCTCCGAGGCATCTGAAAAGAAGATGGCCCCGTGATCTCCTAATGTAGTCATATCATTAGAGTGCTACCATTGGGTAGTTACTCAGCAAGTGCATTCATGTCATTATTATGTCCAAATTTACTAGATGTATTTATGTAATACAGTTGTAAATGTCATTAAGAAATAAAAAATAAAAAAATTTAATTTCTTCCTTATTCAAGAACTTTACATTGGCACATTAGAGTATTAGAATAATTTAGCTGCCTTTTTGCATATTTTTTGCTACATATATTATGTTTTTTTTACTGCATATTTTATGGATTTTTATTGCATATTAGGTAGCACAGTCTGGAGTTTTTGCTGCATAAAACTTCTAGTTCTGATTATGATAGAGTCCAATGATTATTTAAATTATGGGCATACAATTTTGTCTCTTTCTTCCAATGGCATACAGTCAAAGTGAAGCCAAGACAATCTGAATATTTTGAATTTAGAAAATGAAACAACACCATAAAAGATAAAAAAAAATTTAAAATAACCACATAGGTTTTCGATAGGTTATTTAAAGTCATGTTAACATAAAAATAAATCAAAATCATCTATCACATCAGACAAGACAATCTCAACTAAATTAAAAAAGGAAGTTGGAGGTTAAGTGTAGGAGTTAAATAAAAACATATAGTCAAGTTGTAACAGACAAGAAAAAGGAGAGTTCTCCAGAAGCTAATTTTAAAAAGTTACAACTGAAGCCACTATACAATTCTTTAATTAATAAAAGAGTAAGATAGAGATTGGGCTCCTATTCTCTCAGACCTGGGTAGAAGGTCAGTTGTGGCACGTAATTATTTATTCTTTTAAATCATCCATGGATCGGAACTGGGGTTAGGAGGCCCCTTATGAGTATACCTAGTATCAATGAAGTGGGAAATCTTAATTAATTAAGGGAAAAAACCTGGCAGTTGAGCGTGATCTTGGTCCATATTACATCATTGCACAACTGTTGACCAAGAAAGTTCTTCCTTACAAAGTACTGAAACCAAGACCCCAAGTAGTTTGTAGTGGTAGATTTTTTTTTTTTATTTTAAATAATGAGCTTCTCCTAAATAAGAGGGTTCAGTTTAAGTTTCAGTAGGGTGAGAATTAGATTCCGGATTCAAACTCGTTTTTAATACTTACATCACAACTTAATAGCACACTTCGGCCACTCAGTTACTATTAGGTTGAATCTAGTTAATTTTTGTCTACTGTAATCTGAATAGATTACTTATATAATAAATGAACAATGCGGCACACCTCATAACTTTATTATTTCTATAGTGAGAAACGGGAATAACCTCAATCTTGACCATCTAACCAATTATCATAACAACTTTTGGTAAAATTTGTTTTTTTATATTTAATCAAACGTCCGATAAGAAAATTATGCTAGGAACAACCGAACCTTCAATATGTCACATATGTTTTTTATGCCATAAAATCTCGTAGTATTACTTGTAACGATCCTCAAATAAAACAACTCATTTTTATTAAAAGAAATACAAAGTGGTTATTGATATGACAGAAACACTATGGGGTAATGGTTTACTGAACACTATATGTCACACACAAACATTGCTTAATACATACATATACATCATTCAGTTGACACGTTCTTTGAGAAAATAGAATTTTGTTATTGTTTTTCTAGTAAATACACATGAGCAATTATCCAAGAAAAAATAATGACAGCTAATTAAATCATTAAGGCCTTAAACTATCATAAATTGAAAAATTCAAACAGAACATAACAAAATATTTTACCATTGACAGACTAATTCCATTAGTTACAAGATTGATCTTAAAAAAAAAAAGTAAATATAGTGCAATCACAGTCATCCAAAGCAATGGTTTCAGTGTTCGGATTACAGAAGGCATTATGGGAAAACCACATATAATGAAATATTAAAAATCGCTACATCTTTATTAACTGGATATATTGGTTTATATTCATTTGGAGACATTGAATATTGACATTTTTTTATTTTTTAAATCACTGGTTATTTTTGTATTTTGATTGTTGGAGGAACTTCTTCAAAGATCTCTTCTCTAGAACAATATCTCCATTTGCTATTTTATAGGAGACAAAAGAGGTTATCAAAGAATTTAACAGTATTTTACTTATTGTGTGTGTATTTCTTTTAATTTAAAAGTATTATTTGATAATAAAGTCATGAAATTAAGTGACAGAAGTGATTTGAGACACAAATATATTTTACTTTAAAATTAAGCAGTTGATTAATGGATTGAAAATTAATATTAAAACTACTACCTCTGATAAAAGAAGTAGATAGATACCAGAAGTCTATTCATTGATTTATTGATTCATTTTTTAGTTTGGCAATAAATACTAAGAGTTTTTACATTATATGAGCACACAGATATTTTGCATTATATTGGAAAAGAAAAAAAGGTATATTACAACTTTTGTCATTTATACCTACCTCCAATTTAACATGGTAATGCTCATGATTGAAACATCGATCTACCATCAAAGAAAAATTCTGAATTTGAGGATATTGCCAAGGAATAAAAACAGATTTAAAAAATATTTATTCGTTCTAAATTTAACTGAACTGTAACTGGTGTTATGTATTATTACAGATTTCAAATTGAAATTTAATGATCATTATTCAATAATCATACGGTACTTGCATATTAGTCAGCAAAGAAATAAATTGAAAAAGATTTTGAAAAGTATGTGTCTTCATTACATTAAGAAAATGAAAGTGTTTCTTTACTAAAGTCCTTTATTTTAACAATAAAAAATTACATTGTAAATAAACAAAATTTGCAATAATAACCAATATAATGTGCCTATAACAGAGATGGGTTGTAACAGCCACTGGTGACATCAGTGACAAGTTGTTCTTGTTGCTCAACACTACCTGATACTTATTGTTATATGCATCTGCTGTCACCTAAGTAGAATCGTTTTATAGTGTATAAGAAGATAACTATTTTACTAATTAAAACATAACAAATTAAGATATGTGCATATTTAAATGCAGATTCTAAACCAATCCAAACATACAATCATTAAATGCAAAATGGGATTGTCCATTCAGATTTTGAATTTGGTGGTCTACACAAGTCAAAGGGATGTCTAGTACTAAGAGGTTTAAAATTTCCAAAAATTATATTCTTCCAGGTCAGACATTTTAATATTGTTTGTAGATATGGAAAGGTATCCATTGGAGATAGGTGTCATTTTGAAGAGATTTCACTTAATTAGATTAATATAGTTTAACCCTTCTCTACCATAAACATCTTAGGATCTCAAATCATAGAAAATACTACATTATATTTTCTTCTATATAAGATAAATCCCAAATTTTAATAATTTTTTACACTGAATATCATGGAGAAAAATAACAGAATTTATAGAAAAAGTTACATTGTTCAATCATGTTTTATTTCACTATTACCTCAATAACATATAAAATGGTCGACATGCTAATGCATAAGTAGTTACAGCATCTTAAGTGTAATTAGTTGGTAGCCCAAGGGTGAACTCATGCACAACTATGTTTAAACAAAGATTTACATTTTGTCCTAATCATCCATGATTATTTGCAAATAAGTGCATATGATACAAGATGACAACATCCTGATATATACAAATATACAAATATTTATGCTGGATAAAGAAAAACATAATGTTAGTTCTAATTTGGTGCTTCATGAGTTCACCCTCTGACTGGCAACTAAATGTGCTTGAGCTAAACTTATACTGTTTTAATACAGGAGAAATTACTTTGAACTATGTTTCCTTTATTTATTTATTATTTTAAAGAGAAAAAAGGTACAAATTCCAAAGTAATAGTCCATTATAGCGGCTAGACACAAGATCACATAAATCATACTGTGTATGTAACTATGAAAATAGACGAGAGTTTGAAAGTAACATTCTTCAGATTTTGTTCATTTATAAGTAATATGAAGACCATTCAATGTTAGTTTTAATGATGTATGAATGAATATTCTTCAACACAATATTTAGTGGTTACTAACATTATTACGTCTTTAATTAAATCATAATTCTAGTTCTGGAATGGCAATAGACCTTTTACCTTGCTTTGGTACCATTTTCACTCAAATACAGAATATTAAAACATTAATTGATTTTATGACAATACATATTTTTGAATAATGCTAATCTTGAATGTCATTTTCATAAAAAACAAAGTAAGTAACTACCTTGAAAATGTTGCTCCAATTTGATGGGGGGCACAAGATCTATGATCATTCTATAAATGGAATTCTATGAATGGCCGAGTGTTGAAGTGTTCACTGGTATAACTTCCTTTAATTTAGATCATAATTTCAACTTCAGATAAATTATAACTACTTAATTTTAGTTAAAATCAGGGCCTTAATTGCATTGCTACTTTCAAGTACCGCTCGCTCAAAAAGGATGAACAAACAGCCAAAATGGTTCTTTTCGGCTGAAGTTGGCCTTGGCAGACAGTTTGGTCACTTCTGTCGACTTTCAAACACACCGGGTCATTCACAGAATTCCATTTATAGTGTAATTGTGAGATCTTGTACCCTCTTATCAATGTGGGGCAACAAACTCAAAGTGGTACTCAAAATAATGTAAAAAAATAACTAAATATGAACTCGTAAAAACAATATTGAAACAAACTTTTTTTTTCTTAGTTAATCATTCACTGAGTGATTTAGTATATCTAATTTGTTTTATTTATGTTTCATAATCTTATTTTCTTTCAATTTAGAGCCAAAAATTAATGCAATTACTTTTGACAGCCATTGTAACTATCCAATACATGGGTAACTAATGACAGTGATCTCATGACCAAAAACAATTGATAAACATACCATATGCTTCATAAAATATATGTCAACCCATAGCAATGATGAATTTCCTACAAAAACTTTACTTATGTATTAATTAATAAATACAAAAGTATCCATGAATTAGAATCAAACAATAAGTGGGTAAGACATAATTGATCATTTTGTTTAATCAAATTCTTGTAATATAGCCTCTTTAATATAAATAAAGGAGTTAAAACTAATAACGTTAAAACTATTATACCCGAATTTATCTTAGAGGCAGATGAAACTTCAGTAACTGTGTGCTTAGGAGAATTATCCTCACTAGAGCTTTGAGAAATATCATTTTTGTGTTGGTTTTCATTGAATGATGATTCTCCACCAGAGGAGTACAGAACAAATAAACTAAAAACTGATAACAGTTTGAAAATAACGTTCATTTTAAATTTAGGATCAAATGATATACTGTATTGATTTTTGTAACCAAATAAACTAAAACTAACAAAAAAAAACTAAAAAAAAATTAACAAGTAAACAAGAAAACAAACTGCTTAGAAACGCAGGTTATTCTACAGATGCAATTTTCAATGCCAACTAGATAGCAAAATCAACTTGTGAGTAAAAAAGAAAATTATAATGCAAAAAGAACCAAAGAGCTTCTAACCAAAAAAGGTAAACAATAATGATAACCTTAAGATTTGTAAATGATAATTTGAATGAATGAAAATAATTTAATTATTCTGGTACTAGTGTCCCTTTAGAACAAGTTACAAATACAGAATATATATTAATATTTTGGTGTTTCCATAAAATACAATTTAATATTTACAGGTTGATTAGGTATACAATAAAGTTATGAATAATAAAAATATACCAATACGTGTAAGTATAAAATATACAGGGAAAGTAGTTAAGTAAACGAAATATCGATGAATTGCAAAATAATCAGAGTATCTGGGTGTACTTTGAGATTTTTACAGCTTAGGTTTTTAAGTGCATTTCGTGATCAATCGGATTGGGAATGGAGTAGGTGTTTGAAGAGGAGAGATTCAAAAGAGGATATTGATTTTGCGTGCCGAATATCTGAAGGTATAGAGTTCCAGAAGGAGACAACTTGTATTAAAAAGGATTTATCAAACGCAGCAGTTCGGTGAGGAGGAGGATAGAGGTCGGACGCACGGGATCTGGAGGGACAGGATTGAAAGGAGCGTTTCAATTGTAGAATCTGTAGAATATAGGCAGGTCGCCGTGTTCTAATGGCTTGGTATAGGAAGGTAGCAAGGAGATATTGACGGCTGTAGGACGGATAAAGCCACTTCAACTTGGTGTAGAACTGGGTAATATGCGTATCCCTTGAGATCCCGAAGATAAAACGGATTGAGCAATTCATTAAACGTTTAAGTTTAGCTTCAAGTTCTCACGAGAGTACACCATACACCATGCAGCCATAGTTGAAGTGGGGGAAAACAAGAGAGGAGGCCAAGAGTTGACGGGTTTTGAACGGAAGAAAATAACGTAGATGGTTAAACTGTTTCAGGGTGGATATAGTACGGCAGGAAATTTGGGAGATGTGTGGTTTCCATAAGAGGCTTTGATCGAGGATGACGCCTAGGTTTTCAACGGTGGTATGGAAGGAGATAGGTGTGTTGTTCAGAAGAAGATTAGGAGGTGCTGAAATGGATTTGAGGAGTGTGGGAGATCCTCATTGATATTTGTGGATTATTAATCATTTCCGAAATTATATTCATAAGCTTTAACGTTTTCCGTATTGTATTAGATTACCCAGAGATAAAGATATATTTATCTCTAATAACCAAAGAATCCCCATTTAAGCTACATGGATTAAATGAGCTTTTGGTTGTAGCTCCTTCCCTTTAAAGTATATAATTTCTTTTTGTTCTCCCATATTTGTTCCTGAGAGTGATCTGAATTAAATATTTAAACAATCACAGCATGCACTCGTTTTGGATTATAACCTACATACAGCTAATAAATGTAACCACGTTTCACGAAAATTTATCTGTAAAATCATTATTGGTCCTTTAATTAAGGTTTTTTTAACAGGTCCTTATGAACCTCTTATACATAATTTTATATAATTTATTTTTCTTTAAACATCCCCCCCCCCAAACAATAATTAAAACAAAGTATCATCCTCCTATTCAAACATATTGCCAAGACTGGCACCAGAAATTTGATATCGCCTAGAGCTTTTCAAGATCCGTATATGTGGTTTAATATTGCTCAATAAAACCCTTACACGTACAATTATATTGACATTGTTTCAATGATATTGAAAAAACTTCAATAAAAAAAAAAAAAGACTGATATCAACCAGTTTGATTGATCTCAATGTAATTGATGCCAATGTAGCCCTTACATGGTCAATATATTGACGCAATAATATTGACCGTGTTAGGGGCCTTTTAAAGTGGGCTTTATGTAGGTAAAACGAAATTAAAATAATAATTATGTTTGGAATAAAAATCATGTTCATAAAAAATTAAGCATTCATTATTTCACAATAGAAAAATTTTCGATATGTTACAAACTGAAAAATACCCAAAGTGCCTAATACGAAAACATTCAAAAAGTGACTTATAAAAATAATTCATTAATTTACAAAGTTTTTTAGGGATTTTTTTGTCCATCATAGTTTGGAACGGTTGTATTTAGAGATGTTGTTGTGGTAAAACTCTTATATTCTTTTTTGATATAGATATTGGCTTATAGTATCTATATTTGAATAATATCGACCAAAAATATAGATATCAAATGATATTTATATTAAAAGTTGGGATGGGCGATAGTCGATAGTTTTCTAATATCGTTAGTTCTATAATCGATAGTTTAGTAACTTCCCGACACAGAATTAAAAAAAGATTTATTTTCGCTGCATTATTGAATTATTTACTTTAAAAAGCTGCATAAGCTTTATAATAATTAACATTTATATTCGATACACAATTAAAGATTTATGTTAAGGCACTAATAAAAATTATTAAAAATATTAATGACGGAAAATACATTTATATAAAAAAATAAATTCCATTTATTTCCCTGATTGTTGAATTCAAACCAGAAACATCGACAACATACACATTTTTTACTTTGAAGGCTTCTTGTTTAATATAGTTTCAGTTTTATATACTGATAAGAATAATTTTAAACACGCCTTCACACTTCTATCCAAAGTCTATAAAACTATCAGATTTGCTCACTCAGAGGGAAAATGGTGGGGCGGGATCGAGCTCTGACGTAACCACTAGACCGATGATACCCCTCCTGCCCTTGTTTTTGGACGTTTTAAGATTATTATTTACCTTTCTACATGAAATCAATACTTTAATGTATAACAGACTAGTAATTTATTAATATTAATAAATTTAAAAAGTGAGAGAAAGGTTCATTTGCTATTTTGTTTATTTTAAAAATAATAAAATTTTATTTTAGAAGTTGATATATGATTTTTTTTTTCAGAAATGCAAAATACTATATATTTTTTTTTAATATTTGAAATACATACAAAACATAATGTGGAATGATAGAACTATTTTTTTTTTTTTTTTTAAAGTATATAATCCAAAAGTAAAAGATCGTTTTCTTTCTAAGAATGTTTGTAAATTTGACATTTTTATGTCATAAGTAATCCTACGAACTCCGCTATGGCCTGGTCCCAAGTCCAGGGTGAGAAGGTAGGAGGGTTAGGGGAAGGCCGAATACCCGTCCCTGTAAAAAGACTCAAGTTACTTCAGCTCAAAAACCAAGCCTCAGATATCGGACTGTTTTACGGTAACGACTCGGAATTCGGATAAAGGTATATTGATTTGGAACTTGGAATGTTCGGACCTTATTCAGACCAGGCGCTCTCTCATAATTGAAGGACCAGCTAATAAGGCATAAAATGGATATCACCGCAATACAGAAGGTGAGATGGACTGGTAGCGGTAAACTAAGCAAGGAAGAGTTTGACTTCTTCTATAGTGGCAGCCAAGAAAAACATGAATTCGGAACTGCATTTGTAGTATCAAAGCATATGAGATCTATTGTTTTGGACTTCTTACCCATTAGTAATAGGATATGTAAACTTAGAATCAAAGGTAGTAAGTGTAATATGACACGCCCCATACAGAGGAAAAATATGATACAGAGAAAGAACAGTTTTATGATGAACTGGAAATGACAATAGATGCTTGCCCATCTTATGACATGAAAGTTATAATGGGTGACTTCAACGATCAAGTTGGCAAAGAGGAAGTATTTTTACCATTAATAGGTAGAAATAGCATGCACGACCGGACTAATGACAACGAAGAGCTCATAAGTTTTGCCACAGCAAATTTATTAGTCGTAATGAGCACAATTTTTCCCCATATGAAAGCACACAAAGGAACTTGGACTTCTCCACATGGGACAAAACCTCAGATAGACCACATTCTTGTCACCAGTAAGTACTTCAACAGTGTGCATGACGTCCGGACTTACCGAGGCCCCGATGTAGACTCAGACCATTTTTTGGTGGTTACGAAGATTACATGCCACACACATCAGACATATAGAAGAAATTATGACCAGAGGCACAGGTGGGACAAAAAACAAAATTAATAGAGCGGAGGTAAAAATTATTTTTCAAAACTGCATTAAAAGAGGGTTTGAGAATATACCAGTAAGTGAAGATGGCAGGAACGGGCTGGAAGAATGGAACATACTTAAGCAAGTAATAGAGGAAGCTGCGGATCAATGCTGCAAGAAAGATAGGATAGTTACTCTCACTTCCTGGTATGTTCAGGAATGTGAAGAAGTTATACAAATCAGGAATATTAAGAGAGCAAAATACCTGAACAGTGACACTCGTCGTAATCGCAGAGATTACCAAGAAGCAAGGAGCCATTCAGAAAGAAAGTGCTGAGATAGAAAAAAAGAAAAGCTTTTCAAGAAGAAGTGAAAAATACTGAAGAAGCAAGGCTCAGGAATGAAACGAGAAAATTCTTTCAGGACGTAAATACCGCCAAAGTTGGTTCTGTGAATGAGTCAGGTATGGTAGGAGATAAGAATGGCAAGCTGCTTGTTGTGGAGAACGAGTTACAGGAAAGATGGAAAGAGCACTTCCAGGAGTTACTCAACCCTTTATTGATAAGTTTGAGAGAGTAATTGGTAGGTCTGGCGGTCTAGTCCTTACTTCACATTTCAAGATCCCCTACCACGCATTATGAATAGGTAGAAGAATGAAGTCGTGTTATTAAAATCATTTTTTTAAGCACATCAAATGTAAATATAAGTTGTGTCTAAGGGGAGAATACGAACTATCGATATTCACTACATTCGATATATCGATAGCACTGACTGTCGCCCATCCCTAATTAAAATGAAATATTTGTGAGATCACTGAATACATTATCAATTCAACATTGAAGCTATTAAAAATGAAAAAAGTAAAACATGAATGTTTTGTATGGATAATCTTATTAATTAATGAATTAATCGAATAAGTATTCGAAAGTAGTACAGAAAACAATCAGCCAAACTTCACGAAATAAATAAACAACGCTCAATGAGTAAGGGTCGGAATGAGAACGGATTAATTGTAAAATATCTGAATTGAATAAAACAAAAATAATGACAATAGAACCAATATTTTTTAGTTACGGATTTGAGGTAAATAACACACAATATTTAACTGAAAATGTTGTTTAAGAACTAATTAATAAATAATTGTACCTCGTAATTAATTTATAGTAAATAGTTAACAAGAAGCCAACATCTTTGTTTTTGTATTTCAATTTTCTCTTCACGTTGAACAGGATTAGTCAAAATTTTGACTAAATTAAATCATTATAAATGTTGAAGAGAAGAATAGTTGGGGTGCTCAGTTTTTTGACTTATCTGGTCGTTATCTGGTCGTTGGCCCCGTGTGGATAGATTCATAATTGGTAATTGGTTGACTGTCGTGGATAATGAAGAGAAGAATAGTTGGGGTGCTCAGTCAAAAAAGGAAGACAAAAAATAAATTATAATATTTATTTTTTACATATGCCGACGTTTCGACCTGAAGTTCAGGCCATCATCAGGGCTAAGAAAATAACCAGATAACAAGGTATGAGAAACTTAAGTGAGATGAGAAGAAAGACGGTTGTTATCTGGTCGTTGGCCCCGTGTGGATAGATTCATAATTGGTAATTGGTTGACTGTCGTGGATAATGAAGAGAAGAATAGTTGGGGTGCTCAGTCAAAAAAGGAAGGCAAAAAATAAATTATAATATTTATTTTTTACATATACCGACGTTTCGACCGGAAGTTCAGGCCATCATCAGGGCTAAGAAAATAACCAGATAACAAGGTATGAGAAACTTATGTGAGATGAGAAGAAAGACGGTTGTTATCTGGTCGTTGGCCCCGTGTGGATAGATTCATAATTGGTAATTGGTTGACTGTCGTGGATAATGAAGAGAAGAATAGTTGGGGTGCTCAGTCAAAAAACGAAGACAAAAAATAAATTATAATATTTATTTTTTACATATGCCGACGTTTCGACCTGAAGTTCAGGCCATCATCAGGGCTAAGAAAATAACCAGATAACAAGGTATGAGAAACTTATGTGAGATGAGAAGAAAGACGGTTGTTATCTGGTCGTTGGCCCCGTGTGGATAGATTCATAATTGGTAATTGGTTGACTGTCGTGGATAATGAAGAGAAGAATAGTTGGGGTGCTCAGTCAAAAAAGGAAGACAAAAAATAAATTATAATATTTATTTTTTACATATGCCGACGTTTCGACCTGAAGTTCAGGCCATCATCAGGGCTAAGAAAATAACCAGATAACAAGGTATGAGAAACTTAAGTGAGATGAGAAGAAAGACGGTTGTTATCTGGTCGTTGGCCCCGTGTGGATAGATTCATAATTGGTAATTGGTTGACTGTCGTGGATAATGAAGAGAAGAATAGTGAGAAGAAAGACCCAAATGGAACTTTGGATGTTAATAACCACAACCCTCGTTTATGAAGTAGGAGATTATGGAATGAAATACTAAAAAAAAAATGTCAAAATTTTGATATTTATTGCAAAAAAACAAAACAAGTTTTTAGCAAAAGTTAAGGCAGCAAACCCTTTTTGAGTAGATTCGTGTTCATCGACTCAAAAAACTAAGATATGCCAAAATTTATGTCTATGACACAAGTTTATATTATTTTTCTGTATTGTCTAAACATAAATAGGAGCCTTAAAATGTAATTATCAGAATATTAACCTTAATATGATTAGTTTTCTTAGATTCCGTTAGTTGCGTTAGTAGTTGGAAATGTCGATATCTTTTAGTTTGGAAAGCAATAATTTTGAACGATGAAATATATTGGAGGCTAGTTTGAAATGTCGGTACTTGGATAAGTGCCTTATCATTGTTGATAGAAAGGTGTTTATAACAAAGTAGGATACGTTTTTTTTTGGTATCGTACTGCTAAAGATAATGTTTTAGATCAAACTGAATCCACTTAATACCCTTTTAAAGATAAGATTACATTATAAGTCCATTACTTTGCTCTTCTTTTTATTTCAAGATGACTGTTCTGGGAGTATTGAATCAAATTAATGGTCGAGATAAAACAGCCAGGTAACTATTTATTGATATTTTGTAATATGTAAGTAATTTCATTGAAAAAGTATTTATTATTTTTTTAATGAAAAGTTCATTTGTAAACAAACAAGTATCAGAGGTTATAATTGTTCTTGGAAGTTCTCGTTAATATTTGTAATATGTACGCTATTATTGTTTTCCATTACTTTTACTTTTACTACTGAATTATGAGAACTATTTGTTTCAATTAAAGTTCAAACCAGTTTAAAATCTAATTAACTTTTTTTTTTATGAAAGCTTCAAGCTGAATGTGGAGGAAGATAGAGATAGATAGATTTTTTATGAGGATCAGCCAAAATCTTTAAAAATAAAAATTCATTTATTAAGTTTCCATTAGCAAATCGAAAACACCCATTTTAAAATTAAAAAAAATATGACTTATAATTATCAATTACTGTTAAAATCAAATCAAATGTTTTTTATCATGTATTATAGTTATGTAGGGGAAGGTAGTGTAAGATGAGTAGGCTAAGCTTTTGCAATTGTTCCTGGCCACTGTGAATGGATTTAGGAACTTAAATTTTTATGAAATCTTCAATATCTTACCAATTACCATGAGTTTTTTTTTAATTGTCCTTCTCTTATTCGAAGGGATGAAACATTAGTTTTTCCCATAAATTGTAATTTTTGTCATCTTACCCTAGCTACGGGGTTTGATGACTAAAAGTTTAAAGCATCATAACAAACTACTTTTATCGGCTTTATTAACATATTATTTAAACAAAAAATATAAAACTGTGAAAGGCACCACTAACAGTTATTAAATTATGCAAAAAGAAAAATTTATTTAAATGCAGAAGTCATGTTTATAATAGGCCTTGTGACTGGTCTCTGTCCGGTTCCAGATGGAACCCTCAGAATGAGCCCACTTGAGGCACTTTGAGCACTGATACACCACAGCTCATTCTTGTCTTCCTCCGGGCACAAGATGCAGAATTCATCATCTTTCCCGCTCACACCATTTTGACCATACTAACGTTGATGAGTAACCAAAACTATTGTTAAATAAATGGTTCTCCTGTGAGTTAGTGGTATGGTGTACCTTCAGAATATTTTAGTGAAAAGGTTGAAAATCTTGCCTTAGACTACTCATTCCTTCTGTTTTGAGATTTGATATTCACTTAAATGTTCTGTATCTGAACTTTTGGTCACAACTTTACTCAAAATGAACACACACTTGTTTATACTAGTGAGTTACATTGTCCACTACTACACAAATCTTATGCTGATTAGGACGTATGTCTATCTGTGATTAAGAGTGAGAAATACTGAATTTTTTATGTTTCTCCATTCCTCATACCCTGTTTTCCCCTACTATTTCATAAGACTACCATTTGTCCTTATTTCTTTTTTTACATAATTAGTTTACTGGCATCTGTCTCCATCATACCAATGTCTCTAACCCTGTTCACAGTTAATTTCTTTTTCCGTATAACGTATTCACTTTCGAAAGATACAAACTTACTAAAGATTACTAGAAAATGAAAGATTTACTAGTGTAATCAATGCCAGTTTTTATTTTGTTATTGCTTTCTTATGCATCAGTATACCTAGTTCTGCCATAAATATTGTTACAAAAGTTGAACTTTGTTAAATCCTTGGGTATTATTTATACAATCCTTACCTATATCAGTTTATTTTCTTTACATGTCAGGATAATAATCACAAGTTTGTATTTCTTTTTTGCTCAGTTAACATGGAGTGGGATGATAAAGAAAACCGAACCTGTGATTGCCTAACACAATGTTGGAAAATGTAGGTCAGAGATTTTTAACACTTTGAAACCTTTGGATATCAGCCGTATGTTTGTATACTGCACTATAAATAGATATAATTAGAGCCTATCTGTATGTAACATACCTCGACCGGGCCCGGGTCCCCGCACTGTGAGAATGGCAAATTCAGTGAGATCAGTGGTTGCTCGAATCAAAAGAAATCCCATTCGAAAACAAAAAATCATGTCTTGGAAAGTGGGAATCTCTGTCGGATCAATATCTCGCATAGTAAAAAGTGACCTTAGGATGGATGGATTTCGAAGAATGACACGATAAAGGCTAACCACTTCCCTAAAAAAAATTAGAGTGGATAGATGGGAAGTGCTCCTTCGCCGTTACACCAATGGTCTTTATCGAAAGATTTTGTTCAGTGATGAGAAAATTTTTACAATTGAAGAAAACTTTAATCGCCAAAATGATCATGTGTACACACACAGCTGTAAAGAAGCCCAGGAAGTCATTGGAAGAGTAGAAAGAAGTCATCCTTCCTCAGTGATGGTTTGGTGGGGAGTTTGCTTTGATGGCACCACAAAGCTCCATTTTTATGATCAAAGGAGTTAAAACAGCCACTAAAAACTATCAGGATGATATTTTGGAATCTGTTGTTAAGCCTCTAAATGATACTCTGCTGGAAGTCATTGGGTTTTCCAACAGGATACCACTCCATTCACAAGTCCAGGTCAATTCAGCAGTGACTGCAAAAGAACATTCCAGAGTTCATCTCTGCCTCGGATCGGCACTTAGGAAGCCCTGATCTGAACCCACTAGATTAGATCAGCTTTGGTCCGAACTAGAGGGGATTGCATGCCAAAGAGCACACTCCAACTTGGAAAGCCTCAAATAATCTCTGGTACGAGCAGTTGAGCGCTTTGCTCAAGAAATGCTGTGTGCTGCTATTGATGACTGGCCACGGAGATTAAATGTGTTAAGGCCAAAGAGGAAAATTTGAGTAATTTCTTTTTTGTTCTATTCTTTATAGATATACATTTTATTTTCCAATAAAGTTTTTGAAAAATTAATTTTTCTGTTGAAATCGTTATATATTTCCTGGTAACATTATTTATGACAGGAGTAGGTAGGTAAAGATAATTATGTGAAATAAATTATATATGAAAATAGTGGAGGTATTTTTTACCACAGAACAGATTATAGAAGTTGGTTGGAGGCTGAGATCAGTGATAAAATAAAATACAGAAAGTTTATTGATGTTTGGGCATAAGTTTTAGGCCTTTGTCAGGTAACGTGTCATTGGCACTTGATTCTTTTAATTAATATTTTTCTTAATAAATGTGAACAATTTTCTCTTGAATAGTGAACTTGGGAACTATTGTGGGTCTCTATGATCATTACTTTATATATGTTTGACATTCTCTTTTCCTCATTTGAACACATTATAGCAACTTCTATCCTTTGATTTTATACTCAATATAAAATATAATGTTTATATATATATATATATATATATATATATATATATATATATATATATATATATATATATATATATGTATATATAAAATATAATCATTATTATTTTTTTTTAACTCGTCTCATAGGTGTGGAGAATCACAAAAATTCATACACGATTTAGAAATTTAAAACTGTATAGTTTTCTACATATTTTTGGAACTTCATCATTTCTGTATTTTAGACAATATAGTCATTCTACAATCAAATAAATAAAATGAAAACTATTTATCCAGCAACAAGCTCATTAAAAAAAGTTTAAAGAAGGTTCTCTCTGAACAAATTCCTCTCTATATTTTTACTTTCACTTATCTATTTATGTAATATATAGTAACAGAAGCTATTGCGATCGTCAAAATTTTTGAATCTGAGTTTTTAAAAGCAATACATACTTTGAGGTCCCTTGAGTCCAAATGACCGAGTCCCTTAAAATGGTCTGTGTGTGAACAATCTAGCTCAAAAACCAAAAAAATGTATGGAACTGAAATTAGGTATTTAAGGTTTGTACATGCTTAGGATGTTAAAGCAACTTTTTCATCATAAAGTGCCACTTTATATCATCGATTTTACACACTTTTACAATTTTCTCAAAAAAGGCTCTAACGATTTTGATTAAATTCAATAAATCAATATAATTAAGCAGTTTTTAATACAATGTAGCTCTTATTCTCATTGATGTTCTCTAACAGGATTTTAATGCCTAGTTTTCAAAATTTCTTCCTCTAAAGTACCTTTAATTTTTTTTATTTGAAATAATTAATCATTTCACACACATTGGTAACTAATATTAAAAAATGGTTAAATATAATGAATTGAGAAAATTCATTTGGAACTTGAGGAGAAATAATGGTTGGAAACTACATAGAAGCAGCCGAAAGCGCCCGACCTTTGCCGATCCTGTCCCTTTACAGACATCTTATACCCCTTACCCATACAGGGGTTTCATTTTGTTAGTTTAACTTTTATATATCACTTGTTCATAATTTTTAAAAAGATTTTCATGCGAAATCTTGAAAATCTACTTGTATAAAACCTAATAATATTTACTAGCATTAAGTTATTTTTTTGACAAAATTCGTGATATGTGCTTTCGAAAAAACTTTTTCCAAAAGATCTATTTTTCTTATAATCATCAGTATTGTTCGATACTATATACAGTTGTAAAAGGAAATGGAAAGTGTTGCAAATGTATAAATTTAACAGATTTGATGGGCAGGAAGAACATGGTAATTAATTGTTTTAAATGACGTTATAACATCGTTTTCACTTCGACTTCCCTATATCTGAAAATACCTATCTACTCAAGGGTTGGTAAATGAAAGTTGTGTGATGAGCGCACCACACCAGATTTTTTCATATAAGTATGGAATGTATTTTTCATAGACTTCATCTTTCTCTACTTGTATCTTGAAGTTTAGATCCTCATCATTTGTTTCAAAGCTTATTGTGGGGTATACTATTGGAGCCTCCTTTCTTTTTGCACTAAATGTTCAGATATAAACAAATATTTTTGGGCCTTCCATATCTAGACAATAAACTTCAAGGAAGCATGTATTATTTTTCATATCCAGGAATTCGGCTATTCAATGCTTCATATTATTGTGATAGTGGGTGACTAGGAACATGATATTCAGACTTTTGCCTGATACATGAGCTGGGATTTCTGATAACATTTGTGGTAGAGGGATTCATTAGCTCCATTTACCACTGGTCTCTGGTAGGAGCATAGTTGGCGTTTAGTTTCAGAGCATTTGTCAACTAAGAGCCTGTAAGAACTTTTCTATCTTATATATAAACTTTTTAGCCCAGTGGTTTGATTTAAAATGGGGCACACCTATTTTCTGCCACTTGAATTTGTTCCAATCCTCAAGTAATTTTCTCGTAAGGATTGTTTAACTTGATTGACTGTTGATGATGCTTATGTATTATTTTATTTGATGCCCAACATTTCAGTAAACTTTCCACCTTTATCGCAAAATCAAAAATCCCTGTCAGTTTTTTATTTGTGTGATGTATGATGTTTCAAAAAAACTTTAGACATCTATATTATTTAGTTTGCCACAGGTGATAAGTAATGATGAAGTTAAATCTTATAGTCACAGTGACTACATGATATGAGAATAATCATTTTATAAATTGAGTCAAATAATAATTTGAAATAAACAATTAAGTTTCACAAAACTTTTATGATAAAACTAAATCATAAAATCAATTAATGATTGAACATATAATTTATTTAATTTGTTATTATTAGTGGTTATTCTCTTATTATTTGTTTAATTTTAAAGGTTTTATTTTTTCGCTTTTCAATTTCAGATTTTTTCAATACCTTTGCCGATTATTGGATTATATTTCTGCTAAAAATACAGCCTCAGATAGATACAAATTTTTGGAGTATCAACTTGGAACATTCAGGAAATGTATGTTTTTTTTATAATCATCTATTTAAAAATTATTTTTCTTAAATTAGGAAATACAAAAAAACACATTTATTAACCATGTTATTAACAATTAAAAGATTTAATAGTTTAATGTAGATAAAGTTATTATGTTGTATATAAATATGAGAATATGATAATTTATATTTTATTTGATTGTCTATGGATTGTTTGTTCTTACTGTGTTAAGTAATGTTGATTTGCTTACCTATTTAAATTTGCTAAACTAAAATCTTGATTGTTGTCTTCTATTAAATTATGTTTTAAATGGTTAACAGAATGATTTGGTGACAATGAAACTATGTACAATTTAGTAAAAACTAGATTAAAATTTCAAAAGGTGATAATAACTATCTTAGAAAGTTTATTCATATACTAGTAAATTTAAATTCAATTACCTCTCTCCATTCTCTGCTTTATTTTCCATGGTGTTATGTGTTAATTAAAAACAATATGTTATCCAAAAAATTATGAGTTGATCATGAAATTAATTATATATGTATTCAAATTAATTATATTGTATTTAATTTCTGAGAAAATCCCTTTCGTTCAAAGTTAATTTGTCAGAAAATTTGTTGGTAACACATTAAAATGTTTATGTTTCGGGGTATCATCCATGGTTTGAGAACATTCATTGGTAATAAGATGTACCTGCTCCTTTTTGCATATAATTTAGTCACTTAAGTTAAAATTTAAAAAAATCAAGTAGCTTTTTTAGTTCAGCTTTGTCACATCCTGTTTAGTGTTTTTTCAAATTAAAAAATGTGAATATAGTCTAGTTGCCAAAATATTTAATTATGTGAGGTAACCATGAAATCAACTGACAACTGGTATCGTGATTAGAATCTCTGACTACAAACCATAAAGACTACAGGTGCACAAATCAGCTGTTTTCTGTGACCAAATCAGATCAACTCACTCAACACAATGAGCACTGTTCGATAGTGACAGTAGAAAGGGGAAGGAGATGGTTTTGTGATTACTTACAATGTCAACTAAGATAACACTTTCAAGTAAAATAAGCTCAACTCTTCATGTAAATTTACTAGTTGCCCATCTGTAATGTAAATGTTGTTTCAGTTACCTGCAATAATATTTCTAATGAATTAGATCCTGATAAAGATCCACTTAGATCCTGATAGAATTCCACTTAGACTCAATATAACTGCGGAAAGGGTCACAATTATTAATTTTAAATAAAAAAAACAACAACATCTTGTTTGAACTTGAATCTTGGTTTTATTTTTTAATATATCTGTTGTTCTAAATAAATTGATTAGACAGTTTTTACAATTTAATTTTTTTTTTTTTATATTTATAGTGTTAAGATTTGGAAGATCATTGGAGAGTTTCTACTTAGCCAGCAAGAATATCCATAATGAAGATATATTAAATAGACTGTCTGCATTAGCTAAAATTGCTCATGGTTGTTACCTTTTTTGTGATCATTTTTTATTGATGAAGAGACTGCAGTTATTACAATTAAATTCCAATGCATGGGCTTCTTCTGCCAATAAATATTGGTTATTAGCTATTATATTAAATTTAATACACAATTATTATGAACTAAAACGAGTGTGGCATGTATATAAGAAAAATAATAATGACTCAGTGTCAACAGTATCACATGTTAAATTTAATTTTACTCTTTACGTTGATGTAATTAGAAATTTATGCGATATTTTCATCCCGCTTTATGCATTGAATTATGTACAAGTGAGTTCTGGTTTGATTGGTATGTTTGGAATGCTTTCTTCAATAGCAGGTTTAATCAATTTGATAACAAATAAAAAATAAAATTGATGTAAATATCACAATTGTACCTTAGAGGTTTTGGGTGGTAAGCCACTGATATATAAATATTTAAATAAGATTTTTTTAATCTTGAACTACTTGGTAATATTCATTTGACTGAAAGTTGTATACTACTAATTATATTTGTTACCAGAAATCTTTGGGACTTACTATCATTTGTTGATTGTAGTTGGCTAAATATCCATTTCCTTTGATTAGTTCAATATATATTCTTACCAATCCGTGCCTCTGAGGGGAAATTGTATTTATATTGTGTTAGATAAACATTTATTTTTTATAATTAATACCAAACTTAAATTATTGTTGTTAATTATTGAAAGTTATTATTATTGTTACCTTTCAATGTTATATATACACTTAGTTTTGATATAAAAAATACATGAAAGTTATATATACTAATTAGTTTTGTTTTGTATAGTAAGTATATATCTTAATGTATATTGATGTATTCATCATACAGTGTTATCATGATCACATATAATCTTTAAGCCTCAATTGTGATTATATCTGTGATAAAAAAAAACAATGTATTTTATATAGTGTATTCTAAATTTATATATATTATATATACTATATTTATGTCAGAACATAAGATTTTAAGTACAATTTCCATTTTCTATAGACTTATAGATTGCATAATTTATTTTTTCATAAAAATAATAATAATAATAATTAAAGCTATTTATTTTTCATGAATAATTTTTATAGAAAGAAAATCTAAATATTCTTAGATTGTAAACATGCCACATAAAAATATTTTAAGTAATTAAATTGACATTTACGGCATGTAAAAAAATTATACTCCATGCATGACCAACAATCATGGGTACATCTGGTTAAGTTTTGATATTTTTTTTTTATCAATTCAATATTGTATTTAAATATAATGTCTGGTTAATTAACCAATATTCAGTTTTTTTTTAAATGATTATATTTTTATAAACTTTTATTTGTTTTCAATATCCCCTTAATCAATGTTTTATATTTAAAATCAACAATTCTAATATCAATAGGAATTTGAGGTCGTTCTTCCTTATTCCAATGCTTAGAATCGAAATTTTCAATGCCTAATAATATTAAAAATTAAATTATTCTTTCACAATTTAATATTCCATATATCGCAGATATGGTCTGAAAAAGATTCTTTATTTTCATTATTAACTCAAAACACAAAGCTTTCTTTAGTATTATTCCAATCTATTCCTAATTGTTTAATTTATCCAACCACTTTTTTTAATTGTTTCAATAAGACAGTGATTAGACTTCTTTTATTTATTTTGCTTCCTCACTATTGAAGGTAGGAAAGCTTTATATCTTACTGGAGATTAAAAAATGTTTTGTGCTCAGAATCAAAATTTTCCACTAGCGTTTTACGTTTGAGACATCAATGATCAAATTTGGTTGGATGACTGTTGGTACGTCTGTATCGTTGTGACCTGCATGTCACCTACTGCCGCTAATCTGATCTTCATGAAGTTTTCAGGGATTGTGCAGGTTGGTGTCTAGATGGTCCCATATCAATTTTATCGAATTCCGTTCAGCACTTCCACTTTTGCACGCGTGAATGTGTTTTCATAGATATGCCAATATTTCAGAAACAGCTTGTTCGATTTGGCTCAAAGTTAAAAGAAAGGTAGGTTTTGGTAAACTAATGATTCTGTGTTAATTTCATTAAATTCCATATTGTACTTCTAGTTGCGCGCAAATATTTCCAATATTTCGATCGAACGATGTCACCCAAAATTAAAAGAAAGATGGTAAAATAATGATGCTGTATCCACTTTATTGAATTCCGTACAGTACTTCCGGTTGTGTACGCGAAAATGTATTTTCTTAGGTATACCAATGTATCGAAAACATCTAGTTTGATTTGGCTCATCATTGAAACAAACAGTAGGTATTCAGTAGTAAAATCATAAAAATGACAGATTAGCACTCGCTTTGGAGATAAAGTGACATTTTATTTTTTAGAATAAACATTTTCAATTTAGGGGAGTTGGTACACCTGTTAAATAACAAAACGAATGTTCTTCAGTTAGTTGTACATCATAAACATTTTGAGTGACTGATAGTTTCTGCTGTAATTAATGCATACTTCCTGATTTGAGAGTGCTTTTTTAGTGTAAAATTCGTAAAAATGCCACGAAAATGTGTAAATATGATGAATAATTTTTGTTATATTTGTGGTGAAATAACATTTTCCTCACAGAAACGCAATCTGACGCCTCTTGTAAAGACTGCCTATCAGCATTATTTCGGTATGAAAGTAGGGGACCAGGATAAGTCTTGGGCTCCACATATATGTTGCAACACATGTTCAGTTACACTGCGAGAATGGATGAGAAAGAAGAAACGATCTATGGCTTTCGCTGTGTCTATGGTTTGGCGGGAACCTACAAACTATACAGATGACTGCTATTTCTGCTTGACTCCACCTATAAAGGCAGGATTGTCTATGAAGAAAAGAAGAACAGTTCAGTAGCCGAATCTTCGATCTGTTATTCGACCCATTCTGCATTCAGATAGTTTACTAGTTCCTACTCCACCCGAAAATTGTGTGTTTGATGCAGGGGTGCCCATTCCCCCCAAGGCCGATGGCACAGGCCCCCCAAAATATTATTGCCCCCCTCACTTATGTAATTAAGATGTATCTATATGAGATGTTAGTTTAACATATAGTAGATATAATATTGTTTTGTTTCTCATGAATATAAAGGGCACAATACATTAAATCAAAGTTAGTAAAGGCAATTAGAATCAACAAGTAACATCAGTAATAGTCACATTGCGCCCATATTTTAAAGACCACTGAACGTGGAAGGCGTACAAGAATAAAACGGCCAAATGGAGTATAAGCACTTTTACCCCTCACATTCCTGTCCATCCCGACTACCTTCTCACATCAGACGCTTAATCTCGTTGGAGGTGATAGGATGGTGTTAATGGGATTTTCGAACTTTTTTATTGATATTACACAGGGAATTGTGACCTGCAGAATGAGAGGACAGGTAGGAATTCAGGATTGGAATCTATAGGTGGCTAATTTCAGCATTGGTTGTTTGCACTAATAGCAATAATAGTTGCGATCGGCAGGATATCTGGTACGTTACCATAATTATCTGGTGCGGTGTTATAATGCATCAGATCCGAAAGATGTCGAGGTAAATTATTTTCATCAAGAATTCTGGAGGATTCGATTGAGGAGGAGACATTCCAGATATCTTGTTACATAACACTAGTAAAGAATATATAAGATCATTTTTTTCAGAAAGGAATTTACGAAAGAGGTTCCAGCTAACTAGACTAATTGTTACATAAAAGACAGTTATATGCCCGATCCACAAGAAGGGAAACCTATTAAAATGCTCTAACTATCGCGGTATTGCTCTGCTCCCGTGTGCATATAAAATTCTGTCAAATATTCTGTTCCACAGACTATTGCCGTTTGCGGAGTGAGCGGTACCAGTGCGGGTTCAGACGAGGAAGGTCAACGATCGGCCAGATATTCTGTCTAGGATTATCCTGGAAAGGGGACAGGAATATAAGCTCAAAACCAATCACCTCTTCGTCGATTTTAAATCAGCCTACGACACATTCGACCATCAAAAGCTGTACGATGCATTACGCCAGTTCGACATCCCCTCCAATCTTATCAGGCTGACCAAGTTAACAATGGACGAGGTGGTGTGTGTTTTTAAAATAAGGGGAAACGTATCGGAGGAATTTTCTACGAGAAGGGGATTAAGACAGGGTGATACCCTGGCATGCCTCCTCTTTCTCTTGGCCCTAGAAAAAGCAGTTTGTGAGTCCCAAATACAAACATCTGGCACGATCTTCAATAGGACTGTTCAGCTCCTCGCTTTTGCCGACGATATAGACATTATTGGGCGTTCTCGGCAAGCGGTTGCACAATCATTTCTGGACCTGGAGGCTGCAGCGAGGAAACTTGGCCTGACTGTCAACGAGGAAAAAACGAAATACTTGGTAACCCAGGAGACCCCAGGACATGGCACTAGGGTGAGTTTTAGACCCTTCAGGTTTGAACAGGTATCAGAATTCACATACCTGGGCTCGCAGATCACTGTTGATAACCGGATGGATACAGAGATAAATAAAAGAATTTTGCTGGCCAACCGTTGCTATTATGGTATGAGTCAACACATGAAAAGCACCCTGGTAACTGAGCGTAGCAAAGTAATCCTCTATAAGACTCTTATCAGACCGGTTTTAAGTTATGCATCAGAGACCTGGACGATAACCAAGGCAGCCGAGCAGGACCTCCTAATATTTGAACGAAAGATTCTAAGCAGAATTTATGGTCCAGTGTGTGTGAATGGAGAGTGGAGAAGGAGGAAAAAATCAAGATCTCTATCAGCGCTTTAATGAGACCAATATTATCAATTTTATAAGAGCAGGCCGTCTCATATGGACAGGTCATGTGGCCAGAATGAGAGACGACATGATCCCAAAAACGGTTTTGGTTGAAATCCTGCATGGAGCTGTAACGAGTAGGAAGGCCAAAGTTAAGATGGAGGGACAGCGTGGGCAAAGATGCCAGGAAGCTAGGAGTTCGAGATTGGATGGTGGCAGCACAAAGCAGGGACACCTGGCGGATGCTGTTGGTGGAAGCATGACTCTCTAAGCGGGTTGTGTAGAGCCAGTATAGATAGATATGGTCGAAATTCACGGTCAATGAAAGCTAATTTGTACCGATATTGTCAAAATCTGAGAAAGATTACTATAAATGGCCTTGCAGCTTGGAAATGAGTTCTTTAAGAAAAAAAAAATCAGAATAATTTCCGATTCCGATCATAATCAGATTCCGATCAAATCGGAGGCCAAATAATTAGTACAAATAGAAAACGTTCCCAACAGCAGCTATTTTAATAAAAGAACAACACTTTCTAATGAGAAATATACTAATTATTATCTTGACCAGTTTTATGAATCCCATGGATTCTTCAAGGAGACTATAGTTGCTGAAGGTTGCAATGCCTCCAGATCTATTGAAACTGATTAAAAACTGATCTGGAAGAAAAGTGGGTTCCGTATTTTCTTGTGCTCGAATAAAAGGTGGTTCGAAAGAATAAATGTAGTTCTTTTTTTAAAATAAATTTTCCTCTATCATGTATTTCATCTGCAAGAATCAGTTCGGAGTCAATAGGTACAAATTGCGAAAGGAACCCAAGCCTTCCCATTTCACGGCGGTCCAAAAAGTACATCACTCTTTTCTTTAAATAGATGTTTTTCTGGATTTTTTTTTCGAAATAATTTTTCTAACATCTAGAGGGGAACGCGCCCCCTGGCAGAAATCACTAGTGCTGGTCACGACTATAACTTTTTGCTTCTTCGCTACCGAAGGTTCAGACATCAAGGATCAAATTTGGTTCGGTGTCTGTCTGTT